GTGCATTACCTGATAGTTCGTCATTGATGCTTTGAAAATGCCCATTAATTGATTATCACATAAACGCAGTTGCACAATCACATATCCTCAAATACTTTACGCAGGTTGTACACAGCAAATTTACTGTGATTAAGTGTTCTTGGCGATGAGTACACGAAGACATTCAAGTTAAAGATATTCAACAGTCGGACAACTAATTATAGTTAGTTCGATGTCATATGAAGGTAGATTTCGATATTGTACGGGGATCAGACAATTCTATTGATAGAAAGAAACTCGTCTATCAAATAACATCGCCTTCAATCTCTGTAATCAAAATTCCTAATTAAGCTAAAACTCAACATTCCAAAGCTTAAAGCTGTTTTGGTACTTAAAGTCGGTTGGCATTTAGCCGGTGAAATAACAAATTCCCCAAGATCTCTGGCAATGGCCCTCATTGACGTCCAGGGATTGTTATGGGACATTACCCATAATAATAATAATAATAATGGACTATTCCATACTTAATAAATACTGCGCCGCAGGAGTAGGCAAGGAGGCAGTCGTTTAAGTCGATCTCGGTCGACCAGATGATCGGTTGAACTCTCTGCCTTCGGGCGGAGAGGAACCCGAAGGAGGCTACGCCGAAGGGCGGATTCTCTTTCGGGGACGTAAACCGATCCTGAACCCGTTTATACAGGTTCAATGGGCATATTTTTGGGCCGAGCCCACGGGCTCGGAAATCCCACGTTAAAAACGGCTTTGTGCCACATGATGCCCCAGTGGGGGGGGGGCGATGACTGTTTATCGTCAGTAGTTCAAGTCGAGTCAGAGGCCGTCCGAAACAGAGTCGCGTTCAGACGATTATTGCAAGACATTCGAATAGTGATACTGGTCGAGACTTCATTGTTCTCTCTAATAAACCTGATTGTTCATCCTAACACTTCTACTTCTCTGTATATATTCCTGTTTGTAATATATCTGTGTTATTGCATACCTGTGTTTGAGTTCTTCTGTATTGGTTCTACATTGGACTATCACCGTGGTACAAGGATCCCGACCATAACAAGGATTCGAATCGATTATTGTTCTGCACCCGCTGTACGAATTGTGGCGCCCTGTTACTGTCCGAACGCCGTGAATGCTTTTTGCGTTTCGTTACAGGCGACACATCCCCGCTGGTGATTTCCAATTCCTTCTGCTCTTTGTGCAACAAACGACCTGGCGACTTCCAAAAAAACATTGCTATGCTTTGTGCATATTGCAACAATTACATGCCGTTTCATCTCGTGCATTACCTGATAGTTCACCGTTGAAGCTTTGAAAAGATGAATGCTCATTAATTGATTATCACATAGCGGCACAATCACATATACTCAAATATTTTACGCAACCTGGACACAGCAAATTTACCATGATCAAGTGTTTTTGACGACACGGACATTTAAAAGAGGACCTTCAAATCAGTGATATTCAACTCTAGGCCAACTGTTTATAGACAAATGGATGTCATACGAGGTCAAATTTCGATATTATACGGGAATCAGACGATTTTATTGATAGGAAAAAAAGCTCGTCTATCATATAACATCATCTTCAATCTCTAACCGAAATCCCAAATTAAGTTAAGACTCAAGATTCCAAAACTTAAAGCTGTTTTGGTATTGAAAGTCGGTTGGCATTTCGCCGGTGAAGTAGCAACTTCCCTAAGCCCTCCTTCTTCATCATGTGCCATAGAAATTTCAATTGTCTTTTTATGATTGTAAGTATGGGTCTTTTTTTGTTTCTATTTTACTTGAAACTCACATGTTCAATCCATGGAATTTTCAGCATCATTCTGTAAAATCACCTCTCAGTTGCTTCAGGTCTCTTCTTTATCTGTGAGGAGATTACCCAACATTTACTGCCATATAGAAGGATTGATATTACGTAACAGTTCAGGACCCTGTAGTTGGTGCTTATCTGTCCTCAACTGGATAGCTACTTCATATCTTTTTTTACCTCCTGTCACATTTTACTTTCGTAGTCATCTTTGTTCTTTATTTTCACTATTTCTACTATTTCAGATATTTCGAATATTTAATGATCTTTCATTTGTATTACCTCTCAGTTGCCTCATTTCTCTTGTTTATCTGTGAGGAGATAAAGTACATGTCATGGGTCCTTACCTATAACTACAGAATGAACTCTTCCTAACACTATGTATACTACGCCTCCGACTTGATGGTCCTCTGCTTTTGAAGAAAGGAACCCGGACGGACTACGAAGGGCAGGAGTTCGGGGTGAATGAACCTGCCGAGCTTCTCGGCTTGATGGTCTAACTCTCTACCTCTGAGCAGAATCTCGTTCGGGGTGAATGAACCCGTTTTTGCGACGAGGTTCCGCCGGCTGAACGGGCTCAGAAACAGAAAAAATGACTCGTTCGGGGTGATGCAAGCCGATCCCTCTCTTTTTGGTCCTTCCGCCGAAGGCAGAATCTCGTTCGAAATGTCCGATCTCGTTTTACGGAATAAGCCTGAGCCTACGGGCTCAGGAAACCCGATAAAAATGAATAACCCTTACTGAATAAGCCGATCTTTTCGAAAACTCCCTCTGCTTTTGAGCAGAAAAAGACGGACGAGGTTCCGCCGAAGGGCAGAAACCTCGTTCAGGGGTACCCGATCTCGTTTTTTACAGGTTATACGAATTTTTGGCTGAAAGCCCGATAAAAATGACCTTGTGTCGGCAACCCTCGTGGGGGTGGCTGATACTGAAAACCTCGACTTGATAAACTCTGAGCAGAAAGGAACCCGGACGAGGTTCCGCAAGGGCAGAATCTCGTTCGGGGAGAAATGACCAACCTGATCTCGTTTTTTTGAGTCATACCTGCAATCAAGCCGAGGCTTGACCTTGTGTCGGACCCTCGTGGGGGGTGGCTGAATACTGAATCAAGCCGAACTTCGATGCCTCTGAGCAGAAAGGAACCGGACGAGGTTCCGCCGAAGGGCAGAATCTCGTTCGGGGTGAAATCTCGTTTTTACAGACCAAAACCCACGATAAAAAAAATCTCGTTCGTTACGAAGCCGAGAGCTTCTCGACTTGATGGTCGAACTTATTCGGGCAGGGTTGGCTATACGGGCATATTTTGGCTGAGCCTCGGAAAACCCACGATAAAAATGACCTTGTGTCGGCCCCTTGTGCTAACAAGCCGAGCTTCTCGGCCTCTGAGCGAAAGGAACCCGGACGAGGTTCCGCCGAAGGGCAGAATCTCGTTCGGGAAGAAATGACCAACCCGATCTCGTTTTTATACGAGGGCATTTTTTGGCTGAGCCTACGGGCTCAGAAACCCGATGCCTTGTGTCGCATGCAACCCTCGTGGGGGGGGTGGCTGATACTGAATCAAGCCGAAAAATTGGTCTACCACTGAGCAGAAAGGAACCCGGACGAGGTTCCGCCGAAGGCAGAATCTCGTTCGGGGAGAAATGACCAACCCGATCTCGTTTTTACGAGGTTATACGGGCATTTTTGGCCGAGCCTACGGGCTCGGAAAACCCACAAAAACTCGGCCTTGTGCCACATGCAACCCTCGTGGGGGGTGGCTGAATACCGAATCAATTCTCGACTTGACGGTCGAACTTTCTGCCTCTGAAGAAAGGAACCCGGACGAGGTTCCGCCGAAGAGCAGAATCTCGTTCGGGAAGAAATGACCAACCCGATCTCGTTTATACGGGTTATACGGGCATTTTTTGGCTGAGCCTACGGGCTCGGAAAAACCACAAACTCGGCCTTGTGCCACATCTTTCCCTCAGTACGATAGGAGGCAAACGCCATACCAACTGTACCAATGGTTCTCGGTGATGAAGAGGTTACGAATTAGACGTCACCGAGAACTATTGGTGCAGTTAATATGGCGTTTGCCTCCTATCGTAGCTGTTCGGGTTTCAATTCTCGGTCGTGGATGCGCACTGCTGATGAGTCCCAAATATAGGACGAAACGGCCGTCCAGTGCTTTCTGCATTCTGTTGAGGTTTCTTCTAGACTCGATAAATTACTTAATTATGATTATTCAAATGCTCCTAATTATTCATCTCCCTCTCTCTCTCTCTACATATATATATATATATATATATATATATATATATATATATATATATATATATATATACTTTTAAGGCACGCCATATTATTATATATCGATCTCAGAATATTCCTATATGTCTTTCTGTGTCGGCTCCTATCTATCGATTTATCTCTATAAGTATGTTCGTATCTATATATCTATGCATGTATGTATGTATGTATCTGTCTATCTGGCTGGCTGGATGGATGGATGTCTGTTTATCTTCCTACAAATCTTACAGTATATTTACATCCGCATATTGCATTTAGTTCAAATCTTGCTAACTAGCTATTTCAGTCTGTACATATATGTATATCTAGCTAGCTAGCTGTCTGTCTATCTATCTATTTATCATTATAACCAATGTTTGAGGAAGCCTTACACATGACATGGCTCAAAAATCAGACTAGCACCTTATTTAGATGTATTTCTAGTTTACGAACTACGTGCATCTCCCTCCCTCCCTATCATTCTCTCTTTGATATATTGAAGATTTGGAAAGTAAAATTGATTTCTCTTAATTTCTTCGGTTTTCCCAGAATTGTTTTATATATATATATATATATATATATATATATATATATATATATATATGAAGAAATATAGTTTTAAGGTCTGCTATATTTATGGGATAAAGTGATCGATATCAGAGATAGAGCGTGTGTAAATATAAAAGTGAACATAAAGTGAACATTAGGGCGATAGTCTGTTTCATGCTATATGCAAATCGTCAGGCCTGACAATTGCATATAGCATGAAACAGACTGTCGCCTATGTTCACTTATGTTCACTTATATATATATATATATATATATATATATATATATATATATATATATTTAATAATTCCAGCACTTTAAAATTGCTTCGGCATGAAACTCAGAGTTGTGTAAATAATGGATGATATTAAGAATGCATATATATATATATATATATATATATATATATATATTACAATAAACGTGCAATCAATTTACAAATACATGAATTATTCACACAAAACTAATGCAAAGGTTAATGATTTTAAATGGCGAGACATCCATCTCGCAAACAATTCAAATATTACACAAAAACCTTAGATCCGTTATGAATGAATTGATCCTTGTTCATATAAATTTCTGCCGTATTAGTTGTTATTTTTACACAAGCTTTCGTCTGTTCATACAGACATCTTCAGGTATATAATAGATGTTGTTCTTTTTTTTTTCTCTTAGTAATAAGAGGACATCGAAAATATATGTGTATTGTATCCGAAATGCTATTGAAAATGAGATATTGGTTTTTGAACGCGCCAAAGCAACGCTAAGTTTGATTTTTGAATTTCTTTTTTTAAAAATGTTTGCGTTTATACCAAATATGGTAATGAACAAATTATTTTACTGGTAAATTTTACTGTCAAAGTGGCATGAACTATATTGTTCAATAATTACAGTAATGTCGCACTTATTAACCAAAAGTCGCACATGGATCAGTTATTTAAATTACAATAAACGTGCAATCAATTTACAAATACATGAATTATTCACACAAAACTAATGCAAAGGTTAATGATTTTAAATGGCGAGACATCCATCTCGCAAATAATTCAAATATATAAATTTATATGAACAAGGATCAATTCATTCATAACGGATCTAAGGTTTTTGTGTAATATTTGAATTGTTTTGCGAGATGGATGTCTCGCCATTTAAAATCATTAACCTTGCATTAGTTTTGTGTGAATAATTCATATATATATATATATATATATATATATATATATATATATATATATATATAATATCCTCCATTGATTGCACAACTACGAGTTTCATGCCGAAGGAATTTTCAAGTGCTGGAATTCTTATATTTATTTTTATTTATATCATGGGTTGACACCGGTTTATGTATACGTATACTATATTTGCCCATTGGTTATATATATATATATATATATATATATATATATATATATATATATATATATATATATATATATAGCTTATATTTTGGTAGTAATCACTGTTTGATATGTTTAATTAAAAATAACTGACAAGATACATTTCCTAAGTTTATTTTATAGTATTTTGCTTGTATGTAAAAATAGGAGAATCTCTTTTGGGCTCACTTTTTTCTTTTTTGCATGCCTAGCAGTTGACCAAAAGGTTATTCGTACCGAGCGCTTTCGTATAATATATTAGCGATTTACAAGCATTTGGATTGTGCCTTTGGAAATGGTATTTTAAGTCGCTGAAAAGAAGACATATTTTTAATTCTTGAATACGGCCAGTTCCTTGTGGCCGTGTTCGTAGTTTATGTTGATGCAGGTTTTTTTTTTTCATTTATTTATCTTTGTTGTAAAAGTTTTTAATATATATTGAAACTCTTTTAAAATTATAGGTACGTATTACATTTGTCTTCCCGTCGAATAATGTTAGTTGGTTTCATGCTGGTTTAATTAGCCCTTATAAAGCATGGGTCTGAAAAGTATAGGGTCAGCTGTTTTCATAATCGGGTGATAGTATTAACGGCATGATTATTTATTATTAAGTCACTCCTGTCTTAAAACGACACGGAACATAAAAGAAGGAGAGGAGGATTTAAGTATTGGTTCGTGAATTTGGTCGCATAGAGTGTGAGTTCAAGCCCTGTGTCAGGTAGTACAGACCCAGCCACGGCGGAAAGAGGGAGGGCAAGAAGAGAGTAAAACAAAAGATGCGAGTTCAATACTTGGGCCTGGTAGAACAGACTCCGATTCGGCGGAAAGCAGGTGTATAAGAACGGAACCGTAAAAAACAAAAACAGCACAAGACCAGATACTGCGAGACATGGACATTGGATCGCGAACAATCTACCCCCGTAGATTAATCAAAGTGCACAGTTCGACAGTTATCGGAAGAAGGCCATAGAGCACAACGGCGCAAATATTTTGATAGCAGCATAAAGATGAGGATATTGCTTCAAATCTAAATGATCCTTATATTTCTCCTCTGTCTCGAATAGTAACGTCCCCTGGGTATGAAACCGCCATGACTCGCTATCGTCTTCGATGGGCCGGACACCTTGCTCAAATGTCAGACCAGACATCCGCCTACCGAAACGAATCCACTTCTCGAAGCTCGCATCTGGCAATTTCTGTTAATTTCCCTCTGAAAGTTCTCCGCTGCCGGGTATTGAACTCCCACTCTTTGACAATATGAGCTCTGGTAAAACATTCATTGATAACAGCAAAAATTGCAATATGAGCACTGGTAAAAAATGGTGCTGAAGACAGGTTTATAATACCTAGAAATTTATACACAGATCCCCCTCAAGGACACATGGCACAGTGGATAAAGGCGTTAGATAGACCCAGTGACAAGACCCAAAGAATGTGAGTTCAATACCCGGTTAAGGCTTTAATTACTTATAACGGATAAATGACATCCGTTAAACATGGCACG